GCTTTTTCGTGGGCCTTTTTTGGGGCGTTTCGGATTGGTGAGTTGCTTAGTGCCAACAAGAAAGGGGTTGGTGGGCTTAGGTTGGAAGATGTGACGGTTAGTAGGGACAGGGTGTTGATCCACCTGATTCAATCAAAGACGGATGTATTTGGTAAAGGTTCCATGGTCACGTTGTTTGGTTTACCAGGGTCGGGGTTGTGTCCGGTGGCAAGTGGGGCCGGGTTTTTGGAACTACGCCCGATAGGGAGCGGTTGTTTCTTCATAGATGCCGACGGCACTGTCGCGCTTCCAATTTGTGCGGGTTTTCCGTTTGGGATTACAGAAGTTGGGTCTGGAGCCCATGCAGTTTGGAACACATTCATTCCGAATAGGCGCGGCGACAGAAGCGGCTCGCTTGGGTTTAGGGGATGAGCGGATTAGACGAATTGGGAGATGGGAATCTCTCAGGTTTCGCTCTTATGTACGGCCAGATAGGCTGGTGTGAAGGGGTGGTTGATTGTGGGTGTTTGGGATGTGCTGGTGATGTTTCCTCAATGTTATGTTTTATTTTAGGTTGGACGGTGTGGATAATTGGCCATTCGTATATCCATTGGGCAAGGAGGAGGGCCGCAGTTAGAAGACATGGAACACAGCTGGGCTTTCCTGAGGATCGGGTGGCGTTATTCTGGTTCGGTTATCGGGGGTTTGACTGGCAGCACATTATTACGGTATTGTTTCGGAAGGTAGCGGAGGAGCCCTTGCCGAACGTGGTGGTAATTCACGGGGGGGGAAACGACTTGGGTCTGGTCCCCCAGCGTGAACTGGTTAAGTGTATGAAGCAGGACGTTGACAGACTAAGGGGGCTTGTCCCTGGCGTGAAAGTGGTATGGTCGGAGATGGTACCTCGTTTATGCTGGAGATACGCCAGGGATGAGAAGGCAGTTTCTCGATGTCGGGGTAAAGTGAACAGGACCATGGCGGTGTTCATTCGAAGGTTAGGAGGCGTGGTGGTGAGGCATCGGGAGTTGGAGGAGAGATTACCGGGTTACTTTCGTGATGACGGGGTGCACTTATCGGATGTTGGTTATGACCTTTTTAATTTAGGTTTGCAAGACGGGATAGCGCAAGCCCTGTTTTTGTGTGGTGGGGGTCGCACATGTCCTTAAGGGGTCAAGGCAAGTGCTGTGGCGGAAAAGGTCTTGGTTAAACTGGAATTTTGGTGGGTTAAGAAATTGGTAGGCCAAGGTCTAGGCTGGAGTAGGCCGGAAGTCAAAAGTATGGAGGTAGGTTCGAGCCCGTCGGTGGCTACGAACCAAGAGGTGTAGGGGTGTCTGGGTACACCCCTGCAGTTAGACAAATGGAGGTGGGGCCTCTTGGTAGGCCGTTGAGTTACGTGTATGTATTATTGGTTATGCTAATGTTTGTTTTGGTAGGGTCATTGTCGGGGGTATGATACAGGAGAGAGCCTAACGAAGGAGTACTGTTGACAATGACCCTAAATTGTTAATTTATATATTGATATTAATTAATAAAGCTGTGGACTTTATACTCCAACAGAACTTTTGGTGTCTGCGTGTTATTAAAGTATGGTTGGCACATGCCGAATAACGACTGTGCAATAATGTCATGAAACCACGGAGCAACGCAGGGAGGAGTGGGCCTTGACAGAGCCAGGAGTAGGCAGGGTGAAGTTCAGGTCAAGAGGCTGTCCTGTGATTGTGCTGGGGGGCGTGGGTTAGAAGGGAAGTTTAAATAGCGGCCATTTTAGGGTAAGTTCATTCTAACTTGAGCCTTTCTTACCTGTAAATTGTCCCTCCCACCCACCCTATGAGTTAGTAGTAGTTCCCGTTTGGTCACAGCGGCGGGAAAAGGTCTTGGTTAAACTGGAATTTTGGTGGGTTAAGAAATTGGTAGGCCAAGGTCTAGGCTGGAGTAGGCCGGAAGTCAAAAGTATGGTGGTAGGTTCGAGCCCGTCGGTGGCTACGAACCAAGGGGTGTAGGGGTGTCTGGGTACACCCCTGCAGTTAGACAAATGGAGGTGGGGCCTCTTGGTAGGCCGTTGAGTTACGTGTATGTATTATTGGTTATGCTAATGTTTGTTTTGGTAGGGTCATTGTCGGGGGTATGATATAGGAAGAGAGCCTAACGAAGGAGTACTGTTGACAATGACCCTAAAGTGTTAATTTATATATTGATATTAATTAATAAAGCTGTGGACTTTATACTCCAACAGAATTTTCTGTGTCTGCGTGTTATTAAAGTATGGTTGGCACATGCCGAATAACGACTGTGCAATAATGTCAGGTGTTGTGTGCCTGTGGGTTGTGATTGCGTTGCGAGAGCTTAGTGTAGTATAGCTACACATGTGCCTGCGTGTCAGACAAGTAATAAACATCAAGCATGAGGAATATCAGCTTAAGTTGTCGAGTAAGTTAACAAGTGGGCAAATGACCACTGGACTAGAAGGGTGAAATAGGGTCAAGGCTTGTCTGTTAGGGCTGGTTTGTAGCTTAATATTAACTCTGAAGCAGCTTGTCTTATGCTTATGTGATCGTCACCAAGATTTATAAATAATATCACACTTAGCATTGCAGGCTTAATATATAAACGCTTAGATCACCTGTTAAATCGCTGAATCTTAGGAAAAAGGTGATCTGTCACTGCTTATAGGTGTATGTATTGCATATTCTTATATTGTATCATGATGCAGACATGTAAGCATGAAATACAGTTAGAGTCCTGAGAGCACTGGCTTATGCTATAAGAGCACCCCGACGCCCCAGTGGCAGGCTGCCAGGCACCTGTACTCTAAGGAGGGATGTTATGCAGGTTCTGTGCCCCCAATGAATCCAGAGCGGTTTCATTTCGTCGTTGCTGCCTTGGGTCGTAACTTTGGTGCTGAAGGCTTGTGAGTCCCCCTGTGATGTGGAGTACTCTTTCGCCACTTTCTTCTGGCTGTTTGGTGCCTCTTCTCTGCGGTTTAGGTGGTAAGTGTCGATGTGCCGTTGTGGAGGCGGTGCAGGCCAGATCTTCAGAACTGAGTTAGGTTGATGGGTCTGTGCCTCGCTGATCAGCAGGCAACCGCTCCCGCCTTTTTTGTCGAGGGTGGGCTCCCGGCCTTGGTAGCGCTTGTCCAGCGGTTGTTGAGTTTGTGGGTTAATGGGTACTGGGTTGTTTCATGCAGGCATTCAGTGCCTGCGTGGAATTCAGGAGGGTAACATCCCCTTGGAGGCCTGAAGTGCTCGTGTGAGCCAGCAGGGTCGCGGTGCCGCCATCTTAGATGTGGTCTGGGCTGCGTTTTGGCGACCCGTCGGGGCCTTGAGAGATTCGGTCTTATCCGGGGCCACAGGGTGTGGGCCGGGATCACCCCCACCGGCCCAGGGGGGGGGAGAGAACAGGGTCCGCCCCGCCCAGCCGAGGGAGTCTGGCTGGATAGCATCGGGCAGGATAGTGGGCAGCGTCCGCCTCACTCACCGCCCGAGTAGGCCTCATCCAGAGGGAGCGATGCGTACCCCCCGGGGGACTAAAACAACAACTGCAAGCCTCTCCCTGGGTCCAGTGTCTCCATAGGTGCCGGTCCACCGCGGTAGGTCGACAGGTGGATCCAACAGGTCCATATTTTGAGATTATTAGTAGAGGTTTGCAGGAGCTGTTGTGCCGTGCGACCGGCCAGCTTGGCCGCCAGGCCCCGCCCCCCTACCATCATCAATATAAATATTCAAATCTAGAAAAATGATTTCACTTTTACTCCAGGTACTTGTGAGTTCTATACCCCAAGTGTTATCATTAAGGAAAAATAGGAACTTTTCTAATTCCTCTAGACCACCTCCCCATACAAAAAAAAAATATCATCAATATATCTGCCATAGGAAACCAAGTTCTCTACCCAGCTATGTGGGCCATAGACAAAGGACTCTTCCCACAAGGCCATAAAAAGATTGGCATAGCTGAGGGTGAACTTGGTTCCCATGGTAGTCCCCTTAATTTGCAGGTAGAAGTCATCATTGTACCAGAAAAAAAAAAAAATGTTATTTAGAATTAAATTTATACCTTATAAAATATATGCAATTTGTGCAGTCAAAAACTCCCTGGAAATATCCAAGAAATGTTTAACTGCTCTATGTCCATATTCATGTGGTATATTGCTATATAAGGAAGTGACATCACATGTCACTAATACATAATTCTCATCCCATTTTATATTCTCCAATATTTTTAAAATCGTAATTGTATCCTTAATATGGGACTTAGTTCTTAAAACTAGGGGTTGTAATAGAACATCTATATAATTGGACAATCTACTGGAGATAGCATCCACTCCTGCAATAATTGGTCTGCCAGGAGGGTGACTAACATTCTTATGCACCTTCAGCAAAAAGTAAAAAAAACAGGAGTCTTAGGGTACTTAATATTCAGGAACTCAAATTCCTTTTTGCTTAAAATACCCTCTTTAAAACCTTTGTTAAAAAAAATTCTACAAATAATAGATAGTAAACGTACTACTATAGATTGTAAACGTACTACTATAGAGCCATAGGGGCTCTGGGTTTCTAAGTATACATTTTACTTACAATTTTCTATGGGAATTTTACAACAGTGCTATACCATTGTGGTTTTATCTCGTATCTATCCTAGGAAGGATCATCTAATCAGTGTCAAAAAAGGGGGGGGGGTCGCCCGTACGGCCCCACAGCCATCCACACCGGAGCTGGGCTGACAGCTCCATGCTTGTGAGTGTATTGTATCTTTTTACAAGTTATATTTAATATTTATACGATTTACACTATGCACATTGTTTCTTTTGCATTTTTAGAATTTGTATACTAGTGAGAATTGATACATCTCTGTTACACCACGCCATACGAGGTAAATTGTTATTTAAATAAGTGCCTCACTATTTGTATTTCAATACACATTCCTGTCTCCTTTTGTAAACAGCTACAGTCGGTCCTTACAACCTTCCTATGGACTCCAGGCAAACCTAGGATACCGGCATCCCTACTTCATAAGCAAAGCTCCAAGGGAGGAATAGGCCTACTGCATATATTGACCTATTATAAGGCCGTTTATATAGAAGCAGCAATAAAATGAAATGCCCAAGAAAAAAAACACTTCAATGGGTGGACATGGAAAATGGGAATTACCAGGGAGGGAGAATGAGAGACCCAATGTGGACCCCTAAAACCTTGCGCCCTAACCTGCCAGACCTATTTCCCACTACAAAATTAGCTATACACCACTGGGACCTATTTCAGAAACAGCATGGGACCCATCTTGGTTTCTCCCATATGCCCCCTTACATCACTTAGTGTCATTAGCCCAGGACTTACCTTTCAAAACTGGGTAAAACATGGTATATCATGGTAATTACACTCCAAGATAAAGTCCTTACCTTTCCCGAGTTACAACAACAATATGGTCTACCGAACTCCTATGTCTTCTCGTATTTGCAACTCAGAAGTATTATACACACACACACGGGTAGACACTAGTGATGTACCGAACGGTTCGCTGGCGAACGGTTCCTGGCGAACATAGCATGTTCGCGTTCGCCACGGCGGGCGAACATATGCGCGGTTCGACCCGCCCCTATTCGTCATCATTGAGTAAACTTTGACCCTGTACCTCACAGTCAGCAGACACATTCCAGCCAATTAGCAGCACAGCCTCCCTAGCAGACCCTCCCACCTACTGACAGCATCCATTTTAGATTCATTCTCAAGCTGCATGCTTAGTAAGAGGAGGGAAAGTGTAGCTGCTGTTCATAAGATAGGGAAAAGCATAGCTAGGTTAGGGATAAGGGTATGCTTTTTTTGGATTTTTTTTTCTATCTAATGTAAATGCACTTAGTTGTCTGCCACTGCTGCCAGCTTCTGTGTCAGGCTCACAGTGCCCATTTCCCCAGTCAGTGCCACCAATTACATCTGGTGTCAATAGCTTGGATTTAAAAACAAAAAACTTTTTTCACTGTTATAGATTGAATAGCAGTCAGTTGTCTGCCACTGCTGCCAGCTTCTGTGTCAGGCTCACAGTGCATACTGTGCCCATTTCCCCAGTCAGTGCCACCACTTACATCTGGTGTCACAACAGCTTGGATTTAAAAACAAAA